GCTTTCACTGAATCACCGTTCTCCCTATGGAACGGCGAGCGCGCTAATGAGATATACAAAGCAGAGGCCCATATCCGCCTATACGGTCAGTGTGAGCTGCGCTTCAAACTCATTCCTTGTGCACTCACTTGATCACGATCGTCCCGAATTCGTAGTGGAATTCCATTCATATTCAGCAGCAGAACCATTTTTTCAATCAGTGATCTCTGAAAATAGAACAAGCATCATCTACACATTTTCTTGAATTTTTCGAAAAAATGATCTTACGCACATGTCGCTTGTCCCCTTGATACCGGAGAACAGACTGGTAATTACGCGGTCGCAACGCTCCCTGATCGCTTTCTGATACACACACGAAACGTTCTTTTGTAGATGAATGGTCGTGAAAATAATAGGATGAACCCAGAGTTCCTTGTTCTTCGGCTGTCCAGAATATTCCTCGTATAGTTCTAGAATGGATGTTAATCATTCTATGACTCCCAGGCGGCGAACCTCCACATCACGCTAAAGGAACAGGAGAGGAGGGGAGGGTAGACCTATCTATTGCTGGCTAGGAGTCTGTGACCCAGCCTTTCTCCAGAAAGAAACGCATGGGCGAAAAGCTTTCGATACGTATTGATTGGCGTTTGGGTGAGGGGTCTGGCGGTTGAGCGAAACGCTTTTGATACGTACCAACGCGAAGCGGAGATGTTGGGCGAAAAACGCTAGCCCTACCCCCTGGAGTTTTTCTCTAGAGCGGAGCCAGCGAAATCAATACGTATTTATTGCATTTCGCCGAACCGCTGTGTCGTTAGGGTCGCAAACTGTGAACATGCCTTAGCGCTGTGTTTGTTGAATAAGGCAGAATTCATAAAGAAATTGATCTTGATGAGATATTGGATTTTTGTTGGTTTGGATGACTACATCATCCAAATCAACTCCCTCATCGAAATCAACCTCTTTCAAAGATTCAAACACAAAAGTGCGTGTGTATGTTATTTGCATTACTATTTTACATGATCTTTTTTGAAAAAGGAAGAGAAATCACAACAAACTGGTAAAAAGGCGCATGCGCTACTGAGAGTACGAGCCTCCTGGGACGTGTTAATATTACTTCTTTACCACTTACACTGTTATTTGTGTCTAGTTAATACTTGTTACTGAAAAACGAAAAAAATCGCAAACAAGAAAGGAGGCGTGTGTACTCCCGTGAGCACACAATTCGACATGAAGGAGTGTTTGCGTGTACTTCCCGGAGCACGCGCCGCAACATTTAATGAGAGGAGTTAGCGGAAGTGCGAGGTGCCTCTCTGGACTAAACAGCGCCGTCCCTTCAGTCCGATAAGGGATTGATCACTCGACAGGGAGCCTTCATGTGAAAGTGAATACTGTCCTTAAGCTACCAACTGTTTTAAAAGCTGGTAACTCAGGCCGTCCATACTTCGCAATTCGTTCGCTGTAATCGCGAAGTATGAACTGCGTCAATGCACGCAATCGCACTGCCGCGACATCACTATATAAGGTGATAGATAACCTTTTCGGCTTGAAATCCGCATTAGATTGCGAAAGGCGTTTGATTGCCAGCATTGCGGCTCGTGCTGCTGCCATACCACCACCATCATCCAGTGCACCTTGACCAACATCCCAAGAATCTATATGGGCAGACAAAAGTACGATTTCCTGAGGATGTGTGGAACCTACAATGAGGAACTTCTCATTTGCAAAGTGTCACGTTAGGACTGCACAATCGTTATCACTGAAGTCACTCGGAGCGTGTCAGCCGGGCATGGGTTTAGAGTATCGCCAACCCCTTTCTCTTCGCTCGTAGATAGCTCCAAGCCGCAACGATCGATGGAGAACGGGCTGGCACGACGCTCGACCCACGCCCCTGCGACACGCCCGATTGTCTTCAGTGATAACTGCCGTATGAGTCTGCTGCAAAAGAAACCAACCGGGAATCTCGAACACAACATTTCGGCTGAGCACTTTCTCCGTTGATTCGTACGACGTAATATTCAGTTTGATCGTGACCTTTTTCTTCCTGTCGTACCACCTCGCTATCATATCAGCCTCCTCTGTCGTTAGACATGCAGCAGGAATCGGAGAGCCTGAACCTGGCAAGAAGCTCTGCTGCAATTTCTTGCGAGAATACAAAAGGCTGTCCTCACAAACTTGGGGTTCAGGTTTCCATGCTGCACGCAGAGGCTAGGTAGCTGACATGACTTACCTCCAAGCCAAGCTAGTCCAGATGGGTTCTAGTTTGAATGATGCCCACGCAACGCCGCCTTACAATGCTATTCTGCTTGCCTTGCGTTGTCAAAACGTGGATGTAAGGTCCCACCCCTAGGCGGGTATTTGCAGCTGCGAACCTCCTGTATTGCATGAGAGAAAGTCTTTTGAAGGCAGTGAACACCATAGCTCGGCCCCCTGCAGAAAACGGAAGTATAGACTCCATATAGTGTGAACGTGGAGCAAAAACAGGTGAAAGCGGAAAGCGGAAAAGTACGAGTCATCGCGATCAACCAGGAGAAAGATGTCTACACATCAAGCTCCATCACGAGTTAGGCTGCGTTTATACTTTGCAGCAGCGTAGCGTAGCGCTTCCAGCGTTTCACTAGCGTTTCGCTAGCGTTTGCCAGCGGCGGGCTAGAGAGCTATGAGAGTAGCGGGGAGTACAGAGATTACTCTCCTACGCGATGAAGAGTATAGAAAGAGAGATGGCTACAAAATGCTAGTCCTACGCTAGAGAGTATACGAAGAAGTGGGAGGTATGTCCACTCTCCTACTCTTCTATATACTCTCTAGCCCCGCCGCTGCAAACGCTAGCGAAACGCTCGTGAAACGCTGGGAGCGCTAGATCGATAGCTATGCTTCCCGTGCCCTCGCTACGCTAGCGTACGCTGGTGACGCTGGGAACGCTAGATCGATATCTATCCTTTCCCCGACACTGCCGCTGGCGTACGCTGGAAGCGCTACGCTACGCTGCCGCAAAGTATAAACGCAGCCTTACCAATTAGGAACTACCCCTTCAGAAGGATCCCAGAGGAAATGAAAAAGATCACCATTTGGCAGCAGGTCGTGGGAGAAAATCATTGAACCCGATAAGTTACAAACCGACACGGATATGTGTGGGCGTGCGGTTTCGGGGGAGGGGGGTGCGGCGGTCTGCATGTCAAGCCTGGCGGAGACTCTCAGAAAGCGCCCTTCGTTGGGAAGGGCGCCTCGCAGCCCTATTAGGAGCCCGGTATCCCTCTCTACCTCCAGGTAACAGCATGATCTTATGGTCAGTCTTGACAACTCACCCTACTAAGAGAAAAGCATACACCGGTATCGGTTCGGCTAAAGCAAATTTACAGTAATGTTCGCTGCGAATGATGGGGCATGTCAGTGAGGCTGAGTTAAGCGCGTCGTAAGAACGTTCTTCACCACTTGTTGAGACAGGAAAGCGACAACAACTTGAGGAAAACGACTGATTCGAACAACATAATGCAGTTTTGTCGCTTGCCGAAAGGTCAAAAAAGAAAAAGAACGGTTGGCACCGCATCAAACCCATACTCCCTTGACACGCCCCATCATCCGCAGCGAACAAGACTGCAAGGATGCGTTTGCTCTCTGTGCACTCTTAAAGACAGCTCCCGCGATAAAAGTCTCATGGATAGCTGCTTTCCAATTATGAAACAGCAGCTGATAAGTAATCTCCCAAAGAAGAAAACAGGCAAGAAGCGTTCTCCAGAACAACATAAACAAAATCGCTCCCTCACAGTTACACCTCCCTGCGGTCTCTGTGCAACCCCTAGCTCACAAATCTCTCTATCACATCTCGCAGTAGTTGATATCATCCAGTGCAAAAGAAAGAATACAAAAAGAAAACAACAAAAACGCAGAGGAAAACTCTGGGAAGGAAAAAGGAATTTTATCAACACGGTGTCTGAATTTGTGATTACGGTAGCGCACCTTTTGTGCGTCGTGGTTTTGCATCACGAAAATTGCGTCACTCGTGTTTTTTACGCGTTTCACCTCGCGAAATGGGTTGAATTGAATGTATATACCTCCAATGAGTAACTGTAATGAAGGAGAGCAGAATTATCCAGGGGCATTAGCAATGCCCGCCCAACCAACTAAGAACAAGTGAGTGGCCTCCGTCGGAGGACATCTAGCAAGTAAGGCGGTCCGACTGAGGAGGAGTTAGAACTAGCACTTTGAGCGGCTATAGCAGCCTTCACGCTCACAATAGAGTCGCGAAAGGTGAACAGTCTTCTAGCTTGGAGGCTAGACTACTTGCACAGCAAAGGCGACCACGAGCCACTTTGATCGCGGGGGCTGTCTTTAAGAACAGGCTGGTCTTGTTTTTTTACCGAGCGTATTAGGCCTGTGATATTGAAAACTTGCAACTTTCCTATTTCAAATATAAAGACACACCTCGCGCTCCTGCTCCAACATGAGGGGTATAAAGAGACACAGGCGTAACTGATTTCACCAGTAATGCTAACGCTCCCCGTTTTGCAGCATCTGCAGCAAGCTTCCTGAATCTCATCGTGGTACGATAACCTGTCCAGTTCTGGGCAGTCACCACAATCCTGCCTTTCACATTTCTTGTCTGAAAATACACATCATCACATCCATTTGATTTACGAGTCAATCGAGAGATCACCTGTAGTTCTTCTGTTTCCCTTATCACTACAACTTCGCCTTCAACTTGGCCTGGTGGGGACCCATCAATAGCCAGTATGTTGAGCTTGTGCAGTCGAGGCTTCTGAAATTCTTGAATTGCACATGATATTTTTCACAAGGGGATGAACAACGAATTCAACTCAGTGGGACCAAAACGCAATGTTCTTCTTGTTGTAGCACCCTAATGAGTGATAAGAATAAGCAAGAATAAGCAGATCCGTCGATTTGTGGGATGCGGCACGCATTCTACTTCCATTCAGAATCGTAGTGGCTTATTGAATGCGATGTGGCCTATACAATGACTTGCGGGGGGGGAGGGGTGGTAGGGAGCCGATGTACATAGTGTTCTTATCCTCCTAATAAAATCGAATAAGCTGGTACCAATTCGCCGTCCCCGAAGGGTAGAGGGCTTAGGTTGGTCCTGGGCGGGAGTCGACTTCAAGATTTGAAGCCAGGATTGCGCGAGGTAAGCGCGGCCGCGAGTGGTAAGCGCGCCACCTGCCAGTGGACCACCTCCGCTTTGATAAGTGAAGTTTGTGAGAACTTCTGACAACCTTGAGAAAAGCATTTAGAAGAAACAACGGGCAAAAATAAACCTGTTATGTAAGCAGTATCGTCGCCACGTATCCAGTGAGGTAATCCAGGAACAGGTTCAGAATGGACACTGAAGCCAACTTGATCGAGAGCGACGCACTGAAGCCACTTGATCGAAGCGATGCTAGCACCCAGTCAATCGCACTAAAACACCGATGTTTTGCATAGAAACCTATGCGCACAACTCTGTGTGTGCTGGTGATTTTGTTGATTTCCCACAACAAGGAATTCTTTGCCTAGTTGTTCGCTGTTACTGTGACTGCTCCGCCTCAACAACTGAGGCCAAAATTTCTATCCATTCAATTTTTCGGTTACCATTCGGATCGCCCAGATGACACCGGACTCTCGTCTCTCCTATGACACGGCCTCGTCTTATCAGTATGGTTGCGGCGTGCCTGCTGCTTGCTATTTCAGGGTGGAGAGCGTTGTTTCCGAGTCATGGGTTCGAGTGCGCGAAATTGGCCCTACGAGCGGGATGGCGTATGCGGCTTTCGCATCAGGACCCATTCCACTCAGCGTGGCAGCGCTGCGACACGATAATTCTCTCTGCATCTCCGACCCTAAAGTCAACTAGCTCTCCCCTTATGTGCCTTTATCTATTCACTCAATTGGGGAATACTTTGCAGTGCGCACGATGTCGTGACTAGGAACTAATGCTTCACATCTTCCACCTTACATGACGTATAGCGCGTACGTATAGTTGGTTGTTTTCTGAGTCGGCCTCTTGTGACTGATACAAATGTTTACAGACGTTGGCACATACTAAACCTGATTCGTGATTGTTTGTCCGTTCAAGTGATTTATTTAGCGAATCTTTGTAGAGTGTCAATGAAACAATAACTGAGTAACCTCTTGATTGTACGCAACGCGCTTGTTGTCAAAGACACATTCGTGAAGACACGTCGTAGGCACAAATTTTTGAAAGAAAACTTCATATGCTGAATGGCTGACCAGCGATGAAAAATATCGGTCAAACCCGTCGAATCGTGCTGACTAAGGCTCTGGGATTGGACGAGTATTTGGAGAAGGGAGACATTAAAGCGCGGGCGAGAGAGCCAGAGGCGAAATGTGAGGGAGCTGGAACGAAAGAAAAAACTTGGATTGGTCCCCCATAGAATGAAGGCAACGCATCACATCTACGCTCACTGGTATACACTCCTTATCCCTGAGCCAGAGTAGGCGTGGCATTTGAACATGGCACGGAATTGGTTACTCGTGGAATATTCCAGTCTGGGACAACTGTCATCTTGTTCTGTGTTGGACAGAGACACGACAACAATTGTGTCAAGATGAAAATATCTCACCAGAAGCATAGACACCTTCAGGTTAAGTTGAAGCATGCGGCCACGCCTACCCGATCCCAGGGATTCCGAGTATACAGTGGTTATCCTCATGGGTGGAGCAACTTCTAGAGTTTGCGTTCCTTCAGCTACGACTACAAATCGGTCCACTTGCACAAAAAAGATTCTTTCCATTGGTCAATGCCAGAGCATGTCTTCAAGGCACATTTTGACAACACGTAGGCAGAAGGTTCAAAAACGCTATACATTACTTCAGTGAAAGGAAAAAGTAAAAAAAAAACTGCTAGTGAAGCCCTGAGTAAGTACCCCTCTGATTCTGCGTGTTGGCATGAGATCAGGCTTGCTTATAACATGACACTATCGGCTCATTTGCCCTGTCATGTTACTTTGACTATTAAGACGCTCAACTCCTACCATACTACAGTTATTCATAAGCAGCCGTATTACCACGATCACTTTGGGCAATAAAGGCGGAACTCGGAATAAGAATAGATCTCGAGCCTGCACCCCCCTTTCTGCGCTCATTGCAGCTAAAAAAAGGACAGGGACATAAGTGCTCGAGAACCGGGCTACCTCCCACGTGACTACTAGTGCGCCTTGGCTAACGCAAATGTGGCGTTTCAATCAAGGGCTAAAGGAAGCAGGATAATCAGAAAGGCACCGCTTTGTGCGCAGCCACGTTTCAAGGGGACTCTAAAAAGCACCCTATAGCTCTATATTAGATCATATTAGTTTGATGATTCACTCTTCCAAAGCTTCTGATCCAAGTTGGCGTGGTCCGAAGTCATCACAAAGTTCTGCCAACCACTTTAATGAATCGTCCTGTCCATTGATGATCTCATACAGAAGCACTTCTGAAGTGGCCGTCAGCTGCAAGCGAACCATATAGAACTATTAAAATAATAAAGTAAAATAATAACAAATGATATATAATATATTAATAAATTTGAAAAAATTGTAATAAATGACCACGAATCATCTACGTTTTCAATTGTGAGCAGTAAGGGAAAAAGTGCTGCTCGGCTTTTCTTTCTCTTCTTCCATGTTCAATAACAAGTTTCACTTGGTATGGCCTAACCTGAATTAACGAAATGGCAAGAGCTATCTGGGACCGTCCCTCCCTATAAGAACAAAACTCCATGGGAGAAGCGTGATTGCTGTTTAACCCATTGCGTACCGCGTGCTGCACATGGTGAAGCACTCTTAGTGTGAACTCATTTAGCATTGTTAGATGACTGGAAAGAGTCGGTATATTCCTGAAGTCGTCTGGGACAAAATATGTGTGGGGGAAATTGCGAGATTGAATAATAGCTAAGTTGCTGGCATTTTTCGAGTAATACCTCAACTATTACATTTTTTAATTAACTCTCCTTTACCAATAAAACCGAAATCCTGCTTAGTACACGACTGAAAAATTGTAAAATGGTGTGAGTGAACAGCTTCTAAGCACACTGCGTCACTTTTTAACTCCTCTTAATTTTATCAAGCTTTTTGGCTAGTTTCGCATTTTTCGGCTTTACACTTTTATCACGTAACAATATTGAATCCCCTTTAGCATACGTATACTTATAAAAGTGATGCATAATACGATGTGTGTGCAATATTTTATGTTATATGTATAAGATAAAAATCTTATGTTTTTATACTCAGCGCGCCAGAAATCGCGTCGCGCAAATACACTGCGGTACGCAATGGGTTAAAAGGATCATTCATAGTTTGCGGCAGCATCCACCAGCGACCGTCAGCGTCTCGAGGGAGAATATCTACCTCGAGTTTACCACTGTTTACCAGCGACCAAGTAGGGGAAACTGCTGGTAAAGAATGGAGAAAAGGAGGGAGGAGACAGCCGGATTAGGCGTTCTGGAATTTGTGGCGTGTGCAACCGCACCGTGCTACTACCCAGTACCGTGCTCCTGGTCGCTGATGGAGTCTGGTAGAAGCTAGATCAATATCCATATTTCCTAGTCTTTCGAGACGCTGACGGTCGCTGCTGGCTCTGCCCTCGTAGATCGATACTTTCCTAGTCGCTGACAGGCCTTGAAATGCTGATGGTCGCTTGTGGACGCTGCCACAAAGTATGAACGCGGCCTGGGGGTTGCATTGGTCTTAGTGAGAAGTCGGAACTTTCATTGTGTCATATTAGCTGACGAAGACATCGCTACACCGTCCTTGAATGACATTACCCCCACACTACAATTGTGCTTAATCGTCATATCCCTCTCCAAAAAAAGCAGCCATATTCAAATCATGTACGATGTCATACTCTCGCCATCTCTGAGATATGGAGTGCTTCCTGTGAACAGGGGAGAGAGCATACAAAAATGTTGTGAATCGTTGGAACATGAAGAGGCAAGAATGAGTTTGATTGCAAAATGCCTTGAAGATCCAGAAGAACCAAAACGTTTCTGCTGAGCTCTCCCTTTTCTCCAACTTCCCTCCCCTCCAACTTAGACTGTTATATATCTTCCTTGTTAGTACCAAATAATCCCCAATAGAATGTCTTGGTTGTTCAGATATAGGGTACTTTTTCAATCTGCGACCGATTTTTCTCGATATTCCACTCCAGCGCAGCGTACGCAGGAATATGGCAGCATTAACACTAGTAATAAAGAACGGAATTTCAAGGAGTTACTTCAGGACAGGGAGGGGCTGCTGGGCGCAGCTACTTTCTCCATAACCCTTATGCGATCATAGAGCCACATTGTGGACAACACCGGCCACCTGGCCACTTCGCTACCCTCCATAGAACATACACATGCAACCATAACCCCAAAAACCAGAAATCGCCATTAAGGTAGTAAACAAAATAAAAATAGCACGAATTTTAGTGGCAATAGCATGACTTTCATTCATACACGTACTGTCTTTGCTATTTTGCAACAACAATGGTCAGTAACTAAAAGAACGAAACTGATGATCGAAAGGGGAAAATAATGAATGATTCACTCTCGAATTCTGTCCCAGGCAGAAAGAATTCCAAAAAAATTACATTATTTTTTCGTGCAGATGTGAAGACGGGAATAGTAATCAGCAAGTGCAGAACGATCAGCTCCATTGACCGCATGACACAACGCGCAAATATAACAGTGGCTGTGTGACACGGCCGAAGGAAAACAACCCAGCCAAAGACAAGGTGGAGCAAAAATCGACGGCGACAACCAGCTGATTATGGAGGCCGTCAACGCTAAATAACCGGCCCCCTATTAAGAGAGTTTTCTTGCTTTCTTGATTGAGTTGTCCAGCATGGTACAAGTTCTCTTCAATATCTGGCTTCCTGCCAACAAACTGACATGGACACGGCCTTCTGCACCCAGCTGTATTGTTCGAGATGTTTCTTGTTGATTTTGTCAACTATAATGCGCGCTCGCATGTTGATGTTTCGTGAGGGTAGCGAATGGGCGGAGCCTCAGCGAGTGGGGAGGGGCTTCGGAATATTTCATGAGGCTCCTGGCGTCAGTTCTGTCGCGCATTCGGGGTGTCAAGATATCAGTGGGATTGCAAACGGAATAATCGCTCGAAACGAATTTCACCTGTCCACATAAGGCGAGGTTTGCTTCTTTCTCAAGGCGAAAGGTTTCTCTGAAGCTTTCAATCCTAATCTGCACTCTGACTTGGAGTCGATTGGTTTCATTCACAGACATTCACAGAGGAACGTCTGACAAAATGTTCCGTTCCTGTAAATATTACAAGTAGAATGGAAAGGGAAAAAAAAACTCGCCAGTCACTTAGTCACTTTGTGAACATATTTATTCACAGAACGAGTCACGGACTGGTTCTTTCATAATTTCTGGAAGCAGTCGACTCCAAGAGACGCATTGACTATCAGAGCATGTGAAGATCCGCTTGGGGGAGGGGGGGAGGGGGGGGGGGGGGGAAATCAGGCACGTTTTAGCCACGACCGGTGAAACTGTCGGGAATGCGTTTGAAGGCGGATTTTGCGATAATTCGATGCTGTTTCCGTTTGAGTACATGTACTGGTTGACTTACCCTGGAAAAAAAGCAGAACGAACCATGGAAAACGCCTCAGTAAGGCATTCATTACTCCAAGCCAGAACTGAGAGAGCATGCAAAGAAGCAAGATGACAGATACGACAGTCAGCAACGCAGGCAGAGTAAATTGAGCCACCTTGCCTCTTAACGTCCCTTACCTCACAACTTTCTGACGCGGAACTTATACAGTGTTGTCTCTTGCGGTCCACACTAGATTTCCTCACAAAGAGCTCCGATTCTTATGATTGATCGCACAACATGCTTTTAAAATTCACAACCATTTCCCTGAGAGGGCGAATCGATCACATCCAGCATAATGTGCAGTTGAAATCAGGGCACATCATTGGTTGGGGATTTTAGTCGACTCTGTACGACCCCCCTTTTTTGGGAGTTGGTACGACCCCCCCCAGCCCTCTGTCCTTCCTCATCGAATCGAGCCGTCGAGCGGGGGGTAAATAGCACATGTGAAATAAAATAGCCCCTTCACAACGTCCATGAAGCGAGAAAAATCAACTAT